AGGTTTGTTGGGGGTCATGTTGGAAACATGGGTATTTGGGTTACCCAAGGATGGAGGACATTTAAGAAATACTCTGAGACAGGGTACATAGCAGTTTCTCCTTCATGATTATGGCCAAGCAAATTAGGTTCTAGCCACTCATCCGAGACCTCAGGTATAGTATATCTTATTTGTGCTATCTCAGATCTCTCCAAGTAGCTTTCACTAAGAAACCAGAACAACTTCCTAGGGTGCCTGCTGGAAGGTACCCACAGGTCATGTGGGAGGCAGGGACTACACTATTCATGTTGGAGAAAATCCTAGGTGAGAGAGAAGGGAAAGGATAAACAGTCACCTAATTGGAAGCAGAGGCAACAGAGCGATTACACGGGGATGGGGACTTACACATATGTATACATACGCATGCACACACACACACACACACACACACACACACTTCTATTTACTGCTATCAAAGTCATAAAATGTAGATATATGAGCAATATAACCCTGCCAGACCTTGATCTTTAATCATGCTATGTATAACAGTAACCCATAAACATGATCAAAATTCAGTTTTCTTGTAGTTTTTGAAGTATGCCAACATTATCTTAATATGTGTTTTGTTTAAGAAACATTTGGAAATATTTAAATCTAACTGTGCAATTCTGCAGTAGAAGGTATTCCACATCCAAGAAAACAAAAAGTAATGAATCATTAGATTAATTTTGTCTATGTTTAAATTCAGTGGCTTCTATCTCATTTGTATAGTGCAATTTGATAGATAGGGACCTGCCATCATTCACTAAGGAAAAGACACATTTATTTACTGGTCATCCATGTGAGGGAAAGCAAGTGGATGAAGATGACAGTTAAATTTCTTGGCTGAGTGGGCTCCTGTCAGGGCCAATTCCTCTGAGTGTCTGTAAAACACCTTTTAGACAGCATCACAGTTCAATGGTCAAATGCAGATTTTATCATACCTTCACCCATTCCAATTCTGTGATTTCATATTAAAACAATAAACAAAAGCAGTGCTCTAGGGAAAGCTATGATTTTGTTCAAAATATAAAAATTATACTTATCTCCATAACAGCATTTCCCCAACCACCTACTTTAATTCACATTTAACAATCCAATGCAGACAAATAAACAGAACAAACATGTTGTGTATGCTCATATGTAAATATGCCAGGCATATGCACATATAAATTCCCTCACAATTGTGGTGGTGTCTACTCAAAATTAAGACGTATGTTTATCAGTGTTACCTAATTAGTCACACAAGCATAAAGCCAAAATTATGAATTATTCAAATGCAATTTTGGCTTTTAAAACAATCAAGGAGCTTGTTTTAATCCTAATAAGCAATCTGAATTGTACTGTTGCCTTTTAAATTTTTTTCAGAAATTTGAGAGGCAAAAGGATAAGATCCTTTTTTTTCCCCATGTGCATTTAAAAAAATATTTTAATTTATTGGGGTGACATTAGTTAATAAGAGTATATAAGTTTCAAGTATAATTCTATAATACATCATCTGTACATTGCATTGTGTGTTCACCACCCAGAGTCATCTATCTTCCATCACCATATATTTGAACCCCTTTTCCCTCTTCTACCTCTCTTTCACCCTCCGTCCCCTTTGGTAACCACCACACTGTTGTCTGTGTCTATGAGTTTTTTGTTTTGTTTTTTTCATTTGTTACTTTCTGTTTTATATCCCACATATGAGTGAAATCATATGGTTCTTGTTTTTTTCCCATCTGACTTAGAGAAAGTCCTTTTCATAGGTTCTGACATTTGTATTCCTATCTTCTTGAATTCTGCCAGGCTGTGATTTCCTTGAATTTATACATACTTCACATCCCCCTTCCCTAGCCCAATAACTGACACACAGCAGAATTTTACAACTTCACTGAATTTATAAACAAGTGACTTTTCTTAAAAAACACTTATTCCCTTATAGTCAAACAAGAGTATCATTTAAGGCAAAAAATAAATTGGTTATTGTTCCATATGTTGCTTTAGAAAATGGCCAAACAGACAAAACACTTTTTTAGTGCTCATTCATGTATTAAGCAAGCAATTATTGAGTCCCTACCATATCCTGTGGCAAATATGCTGCTGGCATTCAAAAATGTTAAAGGTGGATAATGAAAGCAGAATCCATAAAATGATAAAAATGCCTCAAGAAAAGAATAAACAAAGCATTATGTGTCTTTACAACTCTTCATTTCCAACCATGTCTAATCGGTAAAAGTACCCTAAGACCTAGAATTTGGGACACCCCACAAAAAGGCTAAAGCTTCATTCATGGAAAAGCCTTGGTTACCACTGGCAAAACTTTCACTCTGGGAGTCCGGAAAAGCTATATGTATGATCAACCTCCCAACATACACCCTATACATCCAAGTCCTTTTTCTTCTGCAAATCCTTAAATCTTCATGAGCACTTATTTTATAAGGTAGTTTGAGGTGTATTACTTTTTGGCAAAATTGACCAGAGTGTTCCCAGTAGGGAGTGAAGGTAAGGGAATGAAAGAATAATTGTATTTGACGTGAGGGAGACAGAGATGTGCTATTGCTGTATTTCAGCTCCATCTATCCACTTGATAACTTCTTACATTTCTCCCCGGTACCACTGTCCCTACACTCAAATCTGTTATGATTTAAACGGTATACAAGTAAAACACATAGGGATCACAGAGCTAGTAAAAAGCTTGGGTATGTTCCTTAACCTCTCTGACCCTCTGTTTCTTCTTCGTTAAAATAGCTTAAATATGCTTAGCTTTCAGTAGTGTAGTGTCTGGCAGGCCCTTGGTAAACGATGGCTGGTGGTGGGCTGATTATATGAACATAGGTTGCATACAAACTATTGTCCTAAATCAAAGACACCAATGTTGTCTCTATTTCATTAACTATAAAATGGGACTACTTTCAGGGTTGTCCTAAGAATTCATGAGATAATACATGCAAAATTTCCCTTATTTAATCCCTCATGTAAATTATTTTGGGTACTTCTCTTTAGTTTTCAATTTTCTAGTTCTAACTTGCCTACACCTAAATTTCTGTGGTTGCTGGGTGATGTAAATAATGGTAACCACAAATTGCCTGGAGGTAAATACATTAAAGGACTCACACTGAGGATAAAATAAGCCTGGTTTGAATAGGTGACAAAAATCTTTAGTATTCATGCAACCCTCCCAGCAATAAAGAGAATACTGAAATTAGTTATTAATCTTATAAGATCCTTTAAGGACCTCAGAACTGGGAACAGTTTAATCTTAAAAGAGACTTGCCTAAGAAAATGCAGAAATGTTTAGTACCCTGGTTCTAATATAGCCCTTTATGTGTCTCCTGTGAATATTTTTCTTGACTGAATAGATTCACTTGTACTTTTCAATTTTAAATTATGTGAAAGTAAACACATTTATATTAGGAAAGCAATAACACATTCCAGGATATATATTTATAGTTCTTATCGTCACCAGCTCTGAAATCATACACTACCACCAACTCCAGAAACAAACCAGTAACCTATTAATGTGAAATGTGTAATGCTACTGTGAAGCATGACCATCATATTAATACCGATTTGTAGAATGGCCCTCTCTTTAAAGCAAGTGTGAAATAGGAGGAATCAAGACTATCTCTGAACTTGCATAAAGAAAACATAAAATTAGTAAAGAAAAAGCTACATTTCAATTCCTTTTTTTGAGTAAATATTATTTTCTCCTAGGTTGCCAAAAATGTGGATATGAAATTGAAGAGATCTTTACTGTTGACATTTTAATGATGAATTTCTAGTCTACATCAAATTTGGTTTACTCAATATACTACAATTAGTAAGTTAGATTATTTTTCTGTCTTTAAAGTTCAGGATCTGGGAGCACCATCCTTCCTAACCTTTTTCTTGGTTATGTTCAATTATTACACAAAATAACAGCAATCAGACAACGCTCAACTTCTCAGAGTCTGACTTTCATTTTCAGGAATTAACTATGGAGAAAATTTTGTTTAGAGATTGTTGTTAAGGTGTATTTTTTGTGATTACCACCAAAGTGTGTGTGGGAAAAAAAGGAAATGCACATTGCTCTGGCTTTACAGGTTTATAATGCATATCTTTGGGGGGAGCACCTCCGGAAAATTCATCCTCAGATGGCTCCAAGGCTATTGTACACATTGTACAATCCACATAATAGCTGTCTCAGACAGCCCACTTGAAGATTAGTTTCAAGGGACCAAAGTACAACTCTCATTACCATCACTTTCTCTCCAAAATCAAAATCAACATTTCAAACCAGAAAAGTGAAGCAGGGGGAAAAAACGAATCCATGAATAGTTTGCCAATCACACCTCTTCCCTAAACAGTTAAAAGTCTGTCATAAGGCAGGTTTAAATAGAAACAACCTAGATGACAACAGATGGTGCTGTGTCACTTTTCCTATCTGATTTAAAGTTTCAGTTAGGGAAGGGCCTGCCATTTAACAGTCCTCTTATTCTGTAATATAAGCAACAGGATCGACGACGTTCCTTCTGCCCTCCCTCCATCCCTCCTCCTCTTCTATCTCTCAATCTCTCCTCCCTTCCTTCCTATCCATCTACCTGTCTGACAGGTAAAATATTATATTCCCCAAAGTTGATTCTAAGTGCATTCGATTTATAGCAAGAACCAGCAAGTAAATAAACAGTCTGTTGAGTGGAGCGGAATTAAGCATCTAGCCACAGACAGAAAGCCAATACTGTACAAATGGGACCACATGGTATTGGCAGCATCAACATCTGCATGCAGCTCCTTAACTACTATTACTCATGAATCTCTCCAGGTACAGTTTGTAATCTTGTCTCTCGGTGGCTCTCTCTAGTCTGTTTCTGCATTAGACATGATAAATGCATTTCAGAAACTGACAGTAAAAGATTAATACGCTCATAACCATCAAAGAGAACCTTTCACTGACTTCAAAGAGCTGCCCTCCCTTCAACTGCCAACTACCACCCCCCAACCATCCAATTAATACTTACTCACGAAGGCTTCCTCATCCGTTGGCAAACGCATTGACATGCAGAAGTACGTATCAGACTATTAAAGAAAGAGAGATATAAAATTCAAATTAAACTGCTGCTAGTAAAGTAAAAATAGTAACTAATAAAAGAATGGGTTAGATGATGGAAAAAGAACTACGGGTCCAGTCAGATGAAGTTGCCGGCCATACAGTGGGTGCCAGGTGAATGCAAGGGGTTAACATCTAGAAATTAAGTACTCTATAAATGTTGGTTTAAGACGCTTTCATAAACGATTTCAAATCCGATTTTTAAAACCAATTATCATGAGTAATATTTCTAGTATGTCACTAGCAGGTTTTTAGTTAAGAGGCAACATTTTAGATGCTTATATAAAGAGTAAAACAATTTAATGTGTTTGATTTTAAAATGGTAGAAATTGGTTTTGACCATTTTTTGATCTGCATAATTAAGGGTTTAATTTCCTGAATTACTTTACAACTGCCCAAAATGTTAATTAGAGAAGTACAACGAATAAAAGTTGATCTTAAAACATAATACAATAGGGCCGGCTGAGTGGCG